GTGACACAGGTTTAATGTTCCTTGAACAAGATTTGATTCAATAGGTTTTTCTTCGGGATTCTATGCTAGAACAATAACAAGGATGTGACATCTGCAAGAACTATTATATCATGGTTCCCAATTTGATACCCACAGAGAGTAAAGAGGGGATTTGAGGTATTACATATGCTTTTATTAAAATAAAAAAGGACCCTTGAATGTTGTACTTCCAAATATCAGTTCAGAGTCAGTAGCCTGAGTCAAAATATTTCTTTCACTGGATGCTAAGCTTCTGGGATTACCCAGATAATTTCCTTTAGTTTCAAATATCCAATAATTGAAAGAATTTCAGATAATTATATCAATTTGCCATTATGCTTTACACATTTCATACATTTCAACCTGGTGATTAGGCTCAAAAAGTGAAATTCCAAAATATGAAATCCTACCTTTAAGTTTTCTAAGGTAAAGTAATAGGTCAAATTTATCCTGATGAATTAATATACTTGAAGGTTTCTAACACCGGGTACTTTAGAATATGCTCAGTGATTAATTTTTTAAACAAACCATTATTTGTTTCTTGAAGTTATTTTCTGTTCCATAGTATTTTTCATTAAGTTATGTTCACGGTTTTGAAACAGATGATCTATGGTTTAGTATCAAGGTAACATAAGAATACTGCTTTATTTCTAGTACCCACTTGATTTGGCCCAATAACTTATGGCGCTCTCTCTCTTTTTGCTTTTCTTGGTCCCAGCCACCACGCTGAACTGAAATCTGCAAGGAACAGTGATTCCCAAATCTATTTCTTGGTTAGTAGTTACTAATGCAAAGAGTATAGAGCAGGGTTTCTCAAACCTTGGCACCATTGACATTTGGGGCTGGATAATTGCTGTGAGGATTGGCCTGTGCATTATAAGGTGGTTATGGCCAGGCTCAGTGGCTTAACCTATAATCCCAGCACTTTGGGAGGCTGAAGTGAGTGGATTGCCTGAGCCTGTGGGTTCAAGGCCAGCCTGGGCAACTTGGCAAGACCTCATCTCTACAATAAATCAAACTACAGGCAGTGCATGCCTGTAGTTCCGGCTACTTGGAAAGGTGAGCGGGAAGGATCACCGGAGCCCAGCATGTCAATGCTGGGGTGGCCGCTGAGAGTGCCACTGCACTCCAGTCTGGGAGACAGAGTGAGACTCCAACTTAAAAAATAAAAATAAAATGGTTAGCAGCACCCCTGGCCTCCACCCAACAGATGCCAGTAGCATCTCCATTTCTGACACCCAGAAATGTTCTCCAGAAGGCAAAATTACCCCTGCTTGAGAGCCATGGCCTCATTGCATACACTCACCATTGTCTACAATAAAGTGTGTCCAGCCATTTCCATTTACCTACACTTTAACTATGAACCAGTGCATTCAGTAAATATTTATAAGCATAGGTAAATATTTAATACAGGTTGAGCATACCTAATCCAAAAATATTAAATCTTTCAAAATTTGAAACTTTTTGAGCACCGACATAACTCCACAAGTAGAAAATTTCACACCTGACGCTTTGACTTTCTGATGGTTAAGTGTACACAAACTTTGTTTCATGTATTTGGGCTTGAAGTTACATTAAACCGAAGTTATTTGAAAGAAAAATATTATTTAAAATATCATATACAATTATCCTCAAGCTGTGTGTAAGGCATTTATGAAGCATAAATGAATTTTATGTGTAGACTTGGGTCTCAGCCCCAAAATGTTATATATGTGCAATTATTCTAAACTAAAAAAAAAATCCAAAATTCGAAACATTTCTGGTCCCACGCATTTTGGATAAGGGATACTCAACCGTTATTGACAAATGTCAGGAAATTGAAACCAGATGCTAAATTTAAATTACCAAGTTTTGGGGAGCTCAAGAACACTGTCTAACTTGAAATTCATTGGCCTCGTTAATCTTTATATAATCTTTATGCATATGGTTATTTCGTATCCATAGCCAGTACCTATCTGAAGTGCTATGTTACATCCTATGGGGCGACCACAAAGCAAAAGATATGGTATATCCCTTCGAGAAACTTCTTCCAAAACTGTGAAAATATATTGCCATGTATTATCAGACTCTGAAGTGACATTATGAAATAAAATATTCAAGTGTACTTTGTGTGTGTGTGTGTGTGTGTGTGTGTGTGTGTAAAACAAAAGCATACTTTAATTTTTGTCATTTTATTTACATTAAGAATTTGAGAAGTGATGCAGTCCAAGGTTGAAAAGAAGTTTGCGGAAAAAAGTTTCTAGGAGGAGGGAACAACAAACACCGGGCACTGCTAAAGGAGGGAAGGATAAGAGGAGGGAGGGAGGGAAAAGAGATACACAACCACACTTTGGGTACCATGTCCACTACCAGAGGGGAGAAGAAAAGGCTCGCTACAAGTCCAAGCCTCACCTACACACAATTTATTTATGTAACAAATCTTCACATGTACCTCACAACTCAAAAAATTTTTTTTAAATGTTTAAAAGTTCCTAATGCTCATGAAGTTTGAATTGTTTTCAAATTTTGACATTTTCACAAGATTTTATGAATATACACACACACAATGGAAAAAAGTATAAGAAAAACCACAAAGAATTCCACGTAGAAACTTAAGTGATCCCCATCAATAATAACAACAGATGACTTACTTAATAGCAGTAGATCTAAACAAAGATCTAGAAGTTTACTGAGATCCCCAAAGCAGTGTCTTTTAGGAAATGTCTCAATAGATCTGGTCTTAACATTTACCTTTCATTCTTTTATATAGTCATATAACTCTGGCCCAGAATGATGTCAGGGAAAGTAACTTATTTGATATACTTAATTTACTTATTTATTAAAATTATACAGCTCGCTCATAGGTAGTTATAAAATTAAAGGAACGGGAAAGAATTTAGGGGACAAAATAATGAAAGGTGTAACACATAATAAAGTGAACAATTTGCAGGTTCAGCAAGAGCAATGCCTAGGAGTTTAACCTGGCATCAATAAACTACACAGTGTACCTATTACTCACCTAGTAGCCTAAGTGAAGACTTCAAAGTAAGTGCATTCATTTATCCAACAAATACTTGTATTATAGAAGGTTTACTATGTGTCATGCACCTAGTCTCTGGGGATACAGTAGTGAGCAAACAAATAATAAGCCTGCCTTCAAACAGCTGCCATTCTACCTGAATAATTCTTGTGTAAATGAAGCTGGATCTCTGGTCTCAAGGACCTAATAATCCAGTTGGGCAGACACAACAAAAGAAATAAGAACTACAATGTGACTGCTACTTCCCCTGACAGGCAATAGAAAGAGTTTGAAGGAAGGCTTGGAACAACTTGCAAGATTCACTGGAGATAGGACTTGAGATGGGTCTTAAATGATGGAGCTTGATTCAGACCCTTACTACTGAAAGTGTGATCAGCGGGATCAGCACTGCCTGGCAGCTTGTTAGCATTGCAGAATCTTGGGCCCACTCCAGAACTGTGAAATCAAAATTTGCACTTTAAAAAGAACACTATGAGATTTCTGTGGATATTAAAATTTAGGTGGCACTGCAAGTTTCTGGTCAGGCTGGTAATGTTAAGTGTGAGTTGGGCTTGTGGGAAATAGACACTAGGTTGGGGCCTAACGTCAGATTAAGACACAGTGAGGGCCTGGACTTAAGGAACTAAGAGTAAGAAAAAAGTCATTATACCCTTTATCATCATTAAAAACAAACAGAAACCACAGAGGAAGTAGTAAGTTTATCACCAATCAGAGGGGCCTGCCTTTGAATTCCCAGCTCTATCACTTCTTAATTGTGTGTCATTTGGGTCACATTACTTAACCTGACTGAGCCTTTTTCCTCATCTGTAAAATTGGGGATAAACAGTAAGATCCCAGAAAGCCCTTGTAAAGATTCAATAAGGTAACACATATAAAGCGTTAGCAGTCCCTGGTACAAAGAAAGTGACATCCATTATTAATTAATAACAACACTGGTAATAATAATATGCTATTCTTGGGAAAAGATTCAAAAGGAAGAAGAGAAACTATTATCTACTACTAGACCTTCCCTACCTCCCAGTGTATTGGGTAGAGACCCACAACAAACTACAAGTTAGGAAACTTAATTTATACTGGCACTTGAATATTACTTTTTTTGGTTTTTTAAGTAATTAACCCATTGTGTGTTCTCAAAGGTGCTTTCATAATGACATTTTTGTAATTGCTATTATTATCTTTGTTACTGTTATCATTAGAGTACTCTCAAAAGAGTTTGTCTCCCTCCTGGAGTGGAACTTCAAGTGGGGTGGAGTTGCCAAAACCGCCGCTGTGTATGCTGAATTCAATAACAAGTCCTGCTAATGATCCAAACTCATTTCCCTTGCCTCTATTATCCTCATTAATTTTTCTGCCGATATGCCATCTGTTTTTCAATTTCCCTCTCCCTTACACGTGCAGAACTTGTAGTAGAGAGAAGCCCCAGTCTGGCCGTCCTCCAAGTGACAGCCCTAGAGAGAGAGGCAGCTTTAGGTTGAAGTCACCTGAAATATGCCTGGGGGCGGGGAACCCGGAAAGCAGGAGAATGGCTACGGATCTGCCCCCTGGCGTGGCCCCCGGCTAGGAAGACCAGACGGCGGGAGTAAGCAGAGGTCCACTCGGCGGCTCTTTGTGACCCCGCCCTCGGCCAGGTCGGGGAGCCAAAAAAGACTTCCAACACTTCACAAGTTTCAACTCAAGTCTCCACGACTGCATGTGCCCCAGCCTCGCACGCCTGCCTGCAACGTGGCCGTGTCTGGGACGCCCTCGTACCCTCAATGTCTCCCAAACTCTTCCAATCTCTCTCCAGGCCCAGCCGCGTTCCAGGTCTCCCAGTCTCCGGGTTCTCCTCTCCGTGCGCTGGGAGAGCTTCCCCCTTCGCAGGCTCCAGCAACCTCAGCCAAACCCCTTCGCTGCCTGGAGTCACTGCTCCCCCGACACCGCCCGGCTGCGGGGCGGGGGCAGGGCCAACGGCGGAACCGCCCCCAACCGCCTCCCGGGCCAGGCAAGCGGGCGGGTGGCTGGGGCGCCTCCACCTCCTCTTCCTAAAGCGGCGAGGCGCAGAGGAGCGGCATCACTCGAGCCCAGGTCCCAGCCACCGCCACTCACAGCGCCCCGCATTCAGGAAGAGGAGCAGCAGCGGAGGCGGCGGCAAAAGCGGCGGGCGGGCGCCAGAAAGGTAGACTGAGTCCCAGGGAGTCGCGCCGCGAACTGCCCACTTCCCAGCCCCGGGATACGTGCTACCAACCCAGTAACCCCACTTCTGTGTGTCCTTCCAGGCCCTGATCGAAAAGCCTGGGAGGGCCGCCGAGCTACCCCCGGAGGAGGAGCCAGTCCGAACCCAAAGCGCCACCGCCGCAGAAGCAGAGCGGAGCAGCAGTCGCCTTCATGGCCCACTCACCGGTGGCTGTCCAAGTGCCTGGGATGCAGGTGAGGAAGCCCAGTCACCCCCCCACCCCGCCACCCACGTGACTGCCCGGGAGCCCTGTGTGCGCTCCGCGCTGGGAACCGGCGACAAGGGGTGGCCCCAAGGCTCCCCTGAGGGCAGGGCCGGGCTCTCTGGCCAGGTGACCAGGGAGCAGGGAGCGGGGATCAAGGTGTTTCCTGGCGTCTAGGCTAGGTGGTGCTCTGCGCTGGGAAGGCGGGGAGGGACTGGAGCGCGCAACTAGGTGGGGACTGGGGGGGGGGGCATAAAAATAGGCCAGAGCCAGAGACACCTGCGCCTGTGAGCATGGCACAGTTGGGGGTGGGGGAACTTAACCTGAGAGATATTGAAGTGCCTTGAACTTTGTGGGGTAAAACGTCGGTCGCCCCCCCAACACACACAAAAGTCGGGGCGGGGCAAGACGAGGGGTGGCGGTGGCGGCGGCATTGAATTGGGCTCTTCCTGTGTGCGTAGAGCGAAGAGAGAGGTGACTTCTTTCTCTCTTTCGTTGCTGCTTCTTAAGAGCAAAGTTATGTCTCGCTCCCCCACCTGGCCCAGCCTGTAGTGTGGCCAGAGTAATGTTAGGTCCTATTCAAAGTTGCCGAGGTGATGACTTTCCAGCCCCCCTCCCTGCCTTTTCCACAAGATGACTTGTGGTTAAAGGAAGCTTTTTGTCCTGGACAAGGGACTACTGCATAGGACCCAACTTCTTACTCTAGGTCTTCCCAGCTCAACACCCTCCTCCCATTATGTTTTCACTTTACTAAAGAAAGTTATGTTGAAAAACTTTTTATGCTGCTATGTTTTTAAATCGGTGCATTTTAGGTTATCTGCTAAATGTTATCCAAATCTAGCAACTTTTTAAGCATGCACGTTTTATTTTGTTCCTTTGCTAGATAGCCTAAACAACCTATTTATGAATAGGTCAGAGGCTAAAAACACTAAAGCCACAATACCTCATGATCTTCTAAAAATGTGAAAGCAAAGTTTTTTCAAGTTCAGAAAAACTATTCCAAGTAGTAAATAGCTTATGTTTCTAGTAGAAATAAAAGCGCTGTGGATTGGGGCCTCAATTTTCTTATTGGTGCATGGACTTCAGGTTTTGTTTGTTTGTTTTTTTAATAAAGCAGTTGGTCTCATTTTATCTATGGCCACAAAAGTGATTCTAAATGTTCTTTACCAGAAAGAAGCCATTTTTGTAGGACATATATCTAACCTAGGACTCCTGGTATGTACTAAACAGCAGACCCTTTCAGCTGCATTTAAGACAAGTCTGGGTTGAGTCCCAGGAAGTCGGTGTATATGAGACAGAGACAGAGAGGCGAGACAGAAAGAGAGAGAGAGAGAGAGAGAGAGAGAGAGAGAAGTAGGAAATAGTAGGACTGTTTTTTAAAAGGTTAATCCATTCAAGCTTTGCAAAACGCCTCAAACTTTCATTCTCTCAGGCAAGTCTCCCCCTCCTTCCCTCCCTTTCTTTGCTGCATCCATGCATCCACCCGGCCCCACACCCCATTCATTCACTTCTGCCTTTGATTGTGTCAAGAGAATTAGTAGTTTGTAATACTAAGTACAGTTTTGCTCTGTCTAATCTGGAAGAAAGTGTGACATTTACCCACCGTGCTCTCTTTTCCATTATATGGCAAGTAGAACGTTGCACATGTGAAAGTTTGTCTCTGAGGGTCTCCATGCTTCTCTCTCCATTGTGTGCGCGCGCCTGCGTGCGTGCGTCAGCGGAGTGAGTGCCTCCCGTTCATCAAGTTTGTGATTCTGGAGAACTCTGTGCTGAGGAGAAAATGGTTTCTGGACTTTATTTCAGTTGTCTTGACTTTACTTGATTTATATGGTTTCTGGGCTTTATTTCATTTGTCTTGACTTTATTTGATTTATATGGTTAAGGAACTGCTTGTTGTTGAGTATTTCTGATTGCTCCCTGCTTTGTTAAATTATCTGAGTTGCCTATTTCTTGAATTTTTAAATTTTAATTAATGTGAAATAGAGTGTGAATCATATTTTAAATTACAAATTCTGTCTTTCACTGTATGCCCTTGAAAAGTTGTGATTACTTTGTTCAACCTAATTTGGGCAGGGCAAACAATTCAATGTTAGCAAAGAAGAGGAATATTTATTTGCCATTCTCTCCATCTTGCTAAAATGTTAAATTCTTAACTTCTTATTTTCATTTTCTTTCTAGATATGGTTCTTAAGCACTTTGTACAACACAAAGTTTCTTTCATAATTGAAATTGTACAGTTGCTTAAAAATAAATTTGATGGCATACAGTACGACTCTTAAACTTAGACAACTTTTACCATTCTTTTGTGCAAAAATATTGCAGATGAGATGCAGAAATATATCATGAGCTTGTAAAATTCTCCTAGAGTTTTATTAAAGAGTTAGGAACAATGTTTCGACCTTTAGTGTAGTAAGAAAATTTGAGTTAGCCATGTGTTCTTGAAATTAATGTATAGTATTTCCACAAACCAAGGTGAAGTGGTCGATTGGCCTATAACTTTTTAACAGTTTATTTTAGAGAATTATGAAGATTGATGGAAAAAATGATTTTTCCAGAAACAAAAACAAAATTACTTTATCCACAATGTTCTCCCTCTAAGGAGAGACTTGAAGTAGAAGCCCAGCTACCTGTTCTATCACTTAAGACTTCCAGCATTCCTGACTTTCAAACAAAGAAATTTCTGTTGCCACTAGTTTAAAATAGAAAAGAAACTTGGAGTGAAGAAAGAAAACTCAGGATTTGGTCCAGGTCAAATACTCCTTATGGATTAGTTATTCAACCTCACATTGTTGATATTTATTAATATTGTGGTAATGAACATTTTTGCCATATTACACCAAATGTTGGGGCTATGAAGTTTTTTGTACTTAATTTGTGCTTACTTTTTCAGTGTGTAACTAAAAGAATTTTCCATACTAGTAGCTGAACTCTTGAAAAATATTTAAAGTACAACTTTAAAAAATAAACCAATAAACCTGTTTCTTTCCACTCAAATATTTACTCTTTAATGATTCAAACCCTGCTTTTTTCCTTAAAGTTTTCAGTAATAAATCATACTTAAGTTTAAGATAGTTCCCTTTAGGACCTATGTTAGTATTTATGAAGATAAATATTTTAAATTAATTGTTAAATCTTTCATAAAATATAGGCTGGAGAATAAAGTTAAATGTTGGATTGGAGTACTAAATGTTATTATAAATTATGCTTTAAGCTATGCCTCTCATCAAATAATTTTTTAAATTGTTATTTCGTTTTAAAGATGTGGTGTACAGTTCAGGATTAAGTACATAAGTGGTCAACGTACAGGTAAAGTTGGGGCCTCCCAGTGGTCGTCAATTCGCCTGGTTTAGGATCAGGTACCCTTACTGATGTTATATACCCCTCCTCCCTCCCCTGGCAGTGTTCCAATTATGATAAATATTCAAGGTTCACTTATGAGTGAGAACATGTGGTATTCAGTTCTTTGTTTCTGTGATAGATCACAACAAAGTATGATAGAATCTAAATCCATCCAAGTTCAAATAATGTTTAAAGTTTCTGCTAAAGAATTTATAATTTAGCCTTCATGTATCTTTAAATATGACCAAGGTGGTACAGTTTAACTTGAGATATAAAGTAGAAATGAAGTTTAAGAACTTCATCTTTGTTGAAGACTTTTATCTAAGAAAGTGGAGAATATTGCCTGTCACTGGTGAACCTAGTTATTAGGTTCTAGGAAGGATACGGAAATATATTACATGATCCACCCTTAAAGATCTTAACATTGCCGGGCTCGGTGGCTCAGCCTGTAATCCCGCGCCTTTGGGAGGCTGAGGTGAGTGAATTGCCTGAGCCCGCGGGTTCAAGACCCGCCTGGGCAGCGAGACCTCATCTCTACAATAAATCAAAAAATCAGCCGGGCGTGTGCGCATGCCTGTA